GATCGGGGCACAGGGGGGGGGGTGGAGGAGGAGGAGGCTGGCGACACGGTGCAGCAGGAGAGGGCGGTGAGGAGGGAGGGGGGTGTACGAAGAAGTACTTGTTCGAAGGAGAGGCACTCGCGACAATTGACTATACGGACCGGCGTCACACCAGCACACCAAGTGAATCGCGCGCGGCTTAGGCTACTACTGCGCCTCAGCGGCAGCATAGCGAGAAAGCCGTTAGTGGTTTGATCCACATCACGCCAGGTAAAAGCGCGTGAGCACATGATCGCACGACGACGGCATAGCGGGGCGAATAAGGGCGGCAGAGAGCGACACGGGTGCAGCCTGCGGGCGTTCCGAGAAGAAAACAATCAACGAACAGAGAGGGAACCTGTCCATCGCCGACCTTCAGTGGCGGCGGCGGCGGCCGCGGCGGCGGGGACGGCGGCGGAGCAGCGCCCCGCTGGACGGCTGGACGGCGACGCCCGCGGGCGCCCAGCCGGCCAGCACGCCCCGGCGCCAGCGCGGTGAGCTTGTTGTGGCTGGTGTCGAGGACGCTCGGGACGGCCGCAGCCCCGCACGCGCCGCCCGTGCTGCTGACCGCTGCACTTTCAGTGGCGCCACCCATCCCTATGGGCTCCAGCTTCAGGGCGTACCGGGGGGCCGCACTGCAGACTGATTCCGAAGAGACCTCAAGGGGCGCCGCTCATTGAGTGCGACAAGGATGGAGCTATACGAAAGGTATAGGAGATGGTTCCTCGGAATCAGTCGGCTGCGGGCCGTACCGGAGACGTACCGGGGCCATACTGCGGGGGCGTACTGAAGTTCTCCGCAAACGCTTTTGCAACTAATCGCGGAGCGGAGTTGTGGTGTGTGGAATGCTGTGTAAATGCATCATTGTCGGTTTCATTTAAAGTATGCTGCAGGCTCCGTAGCCCCCCCCCCCCCCACTCCCTCCCCACCGCGAGGAAGTGCTACACCTCCTGTAAGTGCGGGTCAGCGCACCCGCGGCCTTGCCGGGGGCGGCGGGGAGGGACATGGGGGGGGGGGGGGAAAGGGGGGGGGGGAGAAGAGTGGGGGGAGCCTGGAGGAGGAGGGAAGTACGTCCGGGAGCATCATCGAGAGGGATGGACAGACATCTACGTGGAAACGAAACAACAGCGGCGAGCTCATATGGGGGGCAGAGAGACAGTTCGGTACAGGAAGAGGAACACACGGGAACCCGGCGGGTATAGGCTGTGTACGCCGATCGTCGATGATTATCATAAAGGCCCACGAGCGGCACACACACACACACACACACACACACACACACACACACACACACAAGCGCATGTGTGGTCAGAAAAGAAGACCGCAAATTGCAGGCCGCACCCGCCGCACCAGGCGGCGCGGCGCGTGGCCTGGTCTGAAGCAAAAGTCATGATCGTGTTTGTTTTGATCCGGAAAGACGTGGTTGGGTGTGTGTGTGTGTGTGTCAGAGAGGGAGGGAGAGAGGGAGTAGGGCAGAGAGAATGAAAGAGAGGGACAGGAGCCGAGCCACGCATTGACTTGAGCCGGTACAGACGATACACACGGCCCCTCCTCCTCACGTACGCGAGATAAGCCCCTCATCTGCGGAATGGGTTCTCATCGTCATCAGAAGGACAGGTGCGCCGGCCCTACTGTCCTGTCTGCAGTAGGCGTGGCGTGGATTGGCGGGGCGGGGCGGGG